GGGGGGGGGGGGGGAGTCTTCAGGCGAGATTATGTATGTCGTCATTCGCTGCTTGGGTCAAGTCGTTTTGCCGTTGGCCATGCACGAGAGCCGGAAGAGTGCCGTTCCCTGTACCGTTCCAGGCGCCTGTCCTTACTTCCAGCGGGGATGCCGCCAGCGTTCGGGCGCCGCCAAGCACACATTGTGAATGGTTCACACAGGGCGAGCGTGCGGGGGATGGACATGCATTGACGTCGCTTTAATGCAGAGGATTTTCACACCATTGTGTTATGTGTAGTCGTACTTGTGGCGGAGAGAGCGGCTACATGCTGTGGTGTGGGGTCTTCAGTACATGTAAGCTACCCTGTCCCATCATTTGGGCCTCCGGTTTCCTCAATGCACACCTTCCTTCCCAACCCTTCCTCCAACCACGCCTTCTGCCCGCACCCCGCCACCGCAGGAATGCGCCGCGCTCCAGCCGACCATGCTTGACTTCCTGCAGCGGAAGGGCCGTGTGCTGAGGAAGATGGGGGCTCTGACGAGGGCAGCTGAGGCGGTAGACTCGGCCAGGATGCTTGACAAGGCGGACCGCTACATGAATAGCAAGGTGCGGCGTCAACCTACCGTCCCGTGTGCCTACAATTGTAGGGTCGTTTCGTCCCGTGGTGTTGTACGGTTTGTAGACGGAAGGTGTTCTCGGAATGGCGATGCTGCCGGCTTTTTTTGTCGTCTCTGTTGCTTTTGCGCTCGGCGACTTTTTTTGTTTCGTCTGTTGGTTTTCCACGGGGGTGCAACAAGGCACTTCGGGAGCGCGGTAACAAGGCACTTCTTTCTCTGTCTCCCTGTGTGTGCATGTGTCTTTCTCTTGTCTCTCCCCTTATGTCTCATTTGTTCGCACATCAAGTGTTGCTGCTTGCGCGGTTACCTCTCATGTTTTCTTGCCTTGAGCACTTGTCGCTGACGAACCCTTAACCCCGCACCCAACCGCAGGGATCGATCAGTTCGCCATTTCAACCCCCTGTTGTTGCCGTTTCATCTTCCTCCCCCCGGTCTTGAGTTGCTTGCCGACCCCTCGCTTAACCCCTGCCACCACCAAACCTTCGTGTCCTGCGCAATCGCGATCACCTGGGGCTTCTTGGCGGCGCCACAGGCGACCAAGTATTTGCTGCGTGCCGGGCAGATCCCGAAGGCGGAGCAGACGATCGCTATCTTCACGAGGCACGAGGGGGACCCTCAGCACAACCTCTTCGAGATGCAGTGCAGGTGCGCCGTGTTGCCTCATGTTGTTTGCTATTTTTGCGAATGTGGTGTTGTCGGTTGTTTATTTTGTTGCTGCTTTTGCTTTTGTTTCCCCTGCTTCAAGCAGCGGAACGTTGTTGTTGTTGCTGTTTTTCCTGCTTGAAGCGGCGGGACGTGAATGTGCTCTCTCCCCAGCGACATGTCCGGAGCACAGCTGTCTGGGCGGGTGCTAAAGCTAACGAAATGCTGCTTGTGCCCTCCGCCGCTGCCACCTCCGTCTTTTGTTGTGCAGCTGGTTCGAGCTGGAATGGGCCGAGGCTCAGATCCGCGCCGGTAAGCCGGGCCTTGCGATGAAGAAGGCCCTAGCTGTGCACACGCACTTCGAGGACTTTGTTGAGGACCAGTTCGACTTCCACACGTATTGCATGCGCAAGGTGAGGTGCCGCGATATTGTTGCGTTTCGATGCTGTTCATGGCGCGGCTATCGCTGTGTCGTTCTGATGCCACTGCCGTTCCCTCCCTCATCCGCTCATTCATTCGCTTTTGTCATTCCCGGACATACCGCCGTCCCGTGGGGCCGTCCATTCGTCACTGTGTTGCCGCCGCAACCGGTTAATTCGCTTCGCTTTTGTAATTGTTGTGTACCATGACCGGTTCGATACCATCTTGACCACTTCGTTATCGCCATTTATCCTTACCCTGTTTTGTGGCAAACCGCCGTTTTCATTCTTTTTTTCATTCCCGCCCGTTTCCGTCTCAATAGACCGTGCTTAATCATTATCGGTTAGTTTCCTTCTCGGAGAAACTTCGGCGACACCGTTCCTTTGTTTTGACCCTCGACGAATGCTGCACCGTCGTGTCTCCACCTGCATATCGCCTCCTTAGCGTACTCAACGCGACGGCGTTTGGCAAGAAAATTTCCAAGTTGCGATCCCCATCGTCTCACTCGCAAGTCGTCCTGCCCCTTGCCTGCGCGCGAGCGTCCGTCGTTTTTTTTTTTTTCAGGTTACCCTCAGGTCGTATCTCGGGATGCTGCGCATGGTGGACGACCTTCGGTCGCAGAAAAGCTACCGCCGCGCATCCGCGCTGCTGGTGCGGGCCTACCTCCGGCTGCACGACGAGCGCCCGGGGAGTGGAGGGGGCGGCGGCGGAGCGGGGCTGCCGGACATGACCAACATGACCGCGGCGGAGAAGAAGAGGGTCAAGGCCAAGGTGAATGTGTCTGCTTACACTGTTTTTTGTAGTTGTTTTTGGTTACCAGGGTGACAACAAGATCAGCAGTGGCAGCGAGGTTGGGGGGTTGTTTGCCCTTGTGACGGTCTCATAGGCTCACCCCAGGTAGCTTGCTCCATTCGGATTTATGTTGTGACTGCGAGGGTACCTTGGGGTCGTTTTGTCAAGAAGCGGGGGGGGGTGGTATCGCCTGGCACGTGTGGACTGACCGCGGGGAAATGAATGATTAATATTAAACGCGTGGTGTGTGGAGTGCGTATGATTTTCCGGAGCACTCTTGCATGGCAGGATGCAGATGCATCAACAGTTTTCGTGTGCTTGCAGTCGATATGTACAGTGATTTCACTCGAATCTTCTGATGTACAAAGTACGTAGCTCTGTCTGATCCATGCCGTTTTTTTTTCGCCTTTCAGCGTTCTCAATTGGTTGATAAACGCTTTGATACGTTTCAACAGATGTTTGTGACTTTTTTTTTTTGCTTCTCTCAGGCCCGGAGGGATGCCAAGAAAAAGGCGGCGGAACAGGAACTCGAGAAACAGCAGATGCTTGATGAGGTGAGGCTGCCTGACGAGCGGCGAGTTTTGTCACGTGGAACAGTGTGGTTTAGTTCCTATCTGCGGGGACCCGTTTCTCTTGCACGAAGGTAGATGCCCCGACGCGACTCCCAACTGGTCAACGGCTTGATTGATTTATTGCACCCGTCGTGTATCACTACGCTGGTGCACGTTCATCGTGCACTTTTTCGGTGCCCCGTTGCCGTCTTGCTTTTCATATCGTCATATTTTCTTGGGAAGGGGTATAAATGTTCTCCCGGTGGACGGTGCATGGGGTCCACTGTCCAGTAGCATTCTGCGGGGACCCCACGTCGTGTCGGCTCTTGTCCGCCTGTGGTTTCGTTGCGGCCAGGGGTACACATGTGGAGGATTGATTTCGCGTGGATGCCACGTCGCCAGTTCCCAGTCTTTCTCTCGTGTGATTTTCTTCGCAAGCCATGCTACAGGCTTGAGACCCAGTTCCTGCTGCAGATTAGACCCTATCAGTCTTGCTACAGACCCATCAGCCGCTGTCCTCCACCCCACACGGTACCGCAGGCTGCCCGTCAGAGCGCCCTCGCCAAAGAGACCGCCAACGGCGGGTCCAAGACGGACGACGCCGGCGGCGGTGGCGAGAAGAAGGGAGGCCACAATAAACGCCGCGGGAGAGCGGCGGCGGCGCCACCCGTGGACCCGGACCCTCTGGGCCTGACGCTGCTCGAGAAGGACCCCCTTCCCGAGGCCGCGAGGCTGGTCGCGCTCCTGAGCGCGCACGCCGGGGCCTACGTGGAAACTCACCTGCTGGCGTTCGACGTGGCCATGAAGAGGGGCAAGTACCTGCTGGCTGCCCGGGCAGTCATAAGGTGTGTAATGTGTGTACAGCATTGTGTGTGTGTGTGTTTTTTTTTTCAAAGACCACGCTGACCGCCTGACCAATGAAAAGTCGTTATTTTTCTGTTTGGCGGGGAAAAAGAACGCGAACAGCTTATCCTAATCAAAAAGGGTCCTACCGACAGCGGGGGCGCCGGAGTTGGACGACTGTGTCCTCCTCTAGTACAAGGAGAAGACTCAATACTAGCGTATGTGTGCGATTCTGCTGAACTAGTGAGGGGCGATGTGATATTTTGTTGTTCTTGGACGCGTCCGCTTTGTCCGCCGACCGCGGGTATTGCTTCGTGTTGTGGTGTGGGTTTGGACTTGGCGGTGGCGGGTGCGCGCCCAAAGTTGCCGATCGAGCGGGTAGCGCGCGCAAGCTTTTACATAATGCTTCAGGCGGCTTCATGGTGAAGCCCATCATTACATAACTCATCTATGCCGGCACGACAGGTACCCGCTTACTGTTGTTGTTAGCACGTTGTTGTCATCGTGACCTGCGTTGGTGTGGGTCGTAGATCGACAAAATTGAGTTCCCAGCTCATACAATCGCAACCTTCTCATGTTGTGAGCTTTGACGATCTTGACGTGCAAAACTTGAGTGAGGAAAACTGACCGCACGGACGGCAAATGCACGTCGCACCCCTATCCCCTGTCCCGCTTCACTCACCGCAATTCAACCAGGGGCCGGGCCTTGGAGCCCCGCAACCCCGAGCTGCTGCTTCGCACGATCCAGCTCTACCACGAAGCGCAAGCAACGCCTCCTTCTCCTGGACAACCCGCCGCGTCCGGCGCCCCAGCGGATGGTTCTAGCACGCCCTCGTCCCCCACGGGACCCGTACCACCATCCCCGTTGGTGGCACGGGTTCTCGCGGAGGAGGCGGAATGGTTGCTCGGAACGGGCGGCCTTGCTGGGGCTGTCGCGGAACTGGTAAGGCTCGCCGAGGACGCGGAGACTGGTTCCCTCGGGGCCAGGGTTTGCGCCGCGAAGGCATTGTCGCTAACGACGGCGGAGGAGGGACGGGAGCAGGCGGTGAGGATCGTCCGCGAGGGGTTGGGCGGGAGGGGGGTGACTGTCCCCGGGTGCGCCACCGCTGTCGAGGCTGTCCGGGGTATTGTTGGGGAGGACGGCAGCGCCGCCGTCGACGCGTTGAGAGAAGTCTGCGCCAAGACTTTTCCCAACGCCGAGGTGTTCAAGTCTTTTTCGGCGCAAGAGGTTGTTGCTTCGAGAGGGTGATTTTTTTGGCCGATCGCGGGAAGGGGCGAGGATTCTGACTGTTAGGATCCGGTTGAGGAACAACAGTATGTGTAGCGGGTTACCACGTGCGCGGTGCTCGCTGCATGGCCTGTCTCTCTGTCGCTCTGTGAGCGCATTAGGAACGGGTCTCCCCCCACCCTTCGCTCGAGTTTTGTAAACGGCTGCAGGCTTTCGGCCTCCGGGGGTTTTGTCAGGAACAACTTTTATCGTGAGATGTTTAGGAAGAACCCGAGTGTTGCAGCTTTACTTGCACAGGGTACTCTGTTCACTAGCTCCCACCATAAACTCTTAATAGCGGGCTCCCTTCGCAGCCGGTATTCGATCGCATGCATATCCAACACACCGTGCCTGCAGTCGTACACGCGAGGTGTTAGTATATTGCTCGTCCGGGCGGCAGAGGAAAGCCACATTTTTGAGACAAAACCGTAAATACTCAGCCTGCATTTGTGGAATGGACCTCACGATATCGGCGTTTCGATTTCACCTATCGGCTCAGACGCCACTATTGACGAGAGTGAGCTCCGGTCCGGAGCAAGATGAACGAGGCAGCTCGAGGTCCAGGACCTCCCGTAGTGTAGCAGGTTGGCACGTGGCGCGGGGGCGGGCGAGTAATCAAAGAACTGCTTGAACCACGTCACACGATCCAGTAGCCCTGACCTGTGTGCGATTGTTTTTTTGTCGCGTCCGCTCCACGAGGAGAGGTAGATGCTCTACACCTGAACTCGATCTATGACATGCTGGAGATGATCCAACCCTTGCGTGGAATTCCACTTGCTACGATGGTGAAACCCAGTCGTTTAAGTTTACAGTGAGCAAGGCGCTAGCCTATTGCGCCCAGCCTCCACATGGAGAGTGGCGTATGTGGAGTGACTGGGCGTCCCGGTGGCTCAGTTTGGGAAGTCGCACCTTCCAGCCATTGAGACGTAGGTTTGAATACCGAGTGAAATTGCTCGCTGGGTGCCCGAACAAGTAGATGACGGCGACAAAGCATACGACGGCAACTTGTGCACATAAACTTGACCTCATGGTAGGCGAAGGGATACGGAATTTGTCAAGAGTAAGAAACGCGGTCAAGCACGTTTGTAGTGAGGGAGTGGGGCTAACGACCGTTTGCGTCGCGTGTGAACTCAGGGTGTATGTATGCCCGCAAACAAAGAAAGGCCGAAAGGTGCAAAATCAGACGCCCATAAGGCATGTTTATGACGCGCTCGAATAGCGTAGCGGGCCTTGAGAACCCATAACCTTTTCATGAGCCGCATAAACGAGCTATGAGGAGCAGCGGGCGTAAGGCACCTGAATGCCAAAGCCGTCCGGGGTCTCCATGTTACGCTTCTCGCCGTTTGTTTGTGACACTCTGTACAAGACCGGCGAACGTTTCCTGGGAAATCTTGAACCATCCACCATTCGTCCGAACAAACGCTTGAAAACACTGGTATGAGTCTGTACGAGATTCAGGGCGGTTCCTGATTGGCCATCAATCGTGGCAATAGCGTGGATGATAGGTTGTACGATAACAACTTGGTTGACCAATACTAGACTACAGTCAGCGGGTATCTCTCGGGTCTCTCGTGGGCACCTGTACCTTCGCCATTTTTTCTCGAAAACAACGCGTGGGGTGGACAAAAGGGGGAAGGACACATTGAGATGGTATATTTCATTTCCTTTCATGGTCACGGGACGCCGCCCCGTTTGGGTGGGGAAAGGTGGTGAGGGGGTGCCGTGAGTGCTTCTTGCCGCACGTTGGCGCTCCCCGTAGCGGGACTTGTATCCCCTCGCTGTCGAGGGCCACTTCGAATTCGCTCGTTTCTTGCGTGGCGATGGGTGGGGTGGGTCGGGCACACAAGCGTGGCGAGTTTCGAGGCCGAGAAAAAAGGATGGGACGAGAGCGGCAGCACCATGAACTGTATTGACACGCTCCGAAAATAAGCCATCAACGCACCGGAGGCTATGTACGTAGCGCGGGAGAAGAAAATCGTCGACAACATATTATACATGCGGGATGCTATGTATGCAAGTGGTCATGCATGCGTACTGTGATCAATCATCGCCAGTCACACCGGTCGCCGCGGTGGTCTAGTGGGTAGCCTCGCAGCCTGCTAAGGGCCTGGTCATGGGTTCGAGTCCCGGCAGGGTGAGTTTTTTTCTCACTAAATATATCCTGATCTAGGATGAAAGCGACGCGCTACAAAGCTCGTTTGTTATAAACAATAATCGACTTCGTAAGTCGCGAGGGAAGGGATTGTTGTACCCTTCTCGCGATAAAATACCTCAGGCATGAACCGCAGGAGGGGGTCCTACCCCCCCCTCTTATTTGACCCCGGTTGGGTCGTCTAGCTCGTAGAAGTGGAGGATAGGGGCCAGAGGGGCAGACGACAGAGTCCAATGATGGGAGAAAAACAAACAAACAAAAAATAAAACAAACAAAAACATGCTGCGGTGGCGCATGGGGCTCGCATGGCCGATCATTGTTGTTTGGCATGCGTGCGCCTGCAACTACACTGCAGTGGCGTACGCGGCAAACACAAAAACAAATAGTCTTCACACGCTGACATCTTTTCCCCAGAGGCTGCTAAATAGGGAAGGTGTCTGGTGCTCCTGTTGTCGGCTGGCTACTTTGCTTAGGGCCCGTGTTTCGTGAGTGTGTGTCACGTAGAATCATTGAACATCACGATGTGACTTCACAGTTCCGCCGCAATCACGCAGACGCCTCCGCGTATCTTCTCTGAGCTGATCGATACCAGGAACGATCCTCGTGGTCGTCAATCGTCGACGAATCCCGGAACGTTCCAACACTTGCCCCAGCAACCGCAGTTACGACGCTTACGGAGAGCTAGAAAGCTCAGGAAGGCCCGACGCAATCCCAACTGAGGAGATCAGCTCACGGTGGAGCAGGTATGTGAAGATCTATTGGCCATGGTTAAAAAAAAAAGAAGCGCTACAGTAAGTAGGCCAGTAGTGCTAGGCCACGCAATATCTGGCCGTCTCAAATACCACTCGGATGCCGTTGTTTGTTTTCTTTGAAACCGTTCCGATCTCTCTACCCAGTACCTTCATCTGTCCGCACGAAATAGTCTTGCCTCCCGTGGTCACAGGCTAAGTTACCAATAAGGTAGACGTACTAAAATAAATGGACCAGACGGACCCGCAAGTAACTAGAAATGAACGACAGATACAGATAGCGCCCGCACTTAAGAACTTGGCAGTTAAGAAATTAATTGAGACTCGAAAAAAATCAGAAGCTAAGAACTTGAGCACCATTTGTGAGCCCAGTTAAGAATCCCAACACCAAAACCTATATAGTGGCGATTTGTAGCCCGCGAGAGTTCTGATAGGCAACATAAGAACCCCAGCCTCGGCCGAAACTGGAGGTTCTTAAGTGCGGGCGCCATCTGTAGCCAAAACAGAGCCCTCCGCTCGCCTGTACAAACTATGCGAGGTAAACATAGACTAGACTGGAAGAAAAGAACAAGAAAACGGAGAGGCAAGGGCGCACAAAAGAAATAATCCCGCACACCTCCCTCCGCGGGTACGAAAAAGTTATTGTTTGTCGTGATCCATTGTTGTACAGGCTATGTTGGCTTTCTCCCTCTCCATCGCGTGTGCTGGTTGTGTGAGCTGGTGTTTACGGCACGCATACGTTCACAAAGGACCTTGTTACCAGGTAGGCAGTTGTTTGATAAGCTTGAGATAATTAATGGTGTGTACATCCGTTGCCGGAAGAAGATTGCTACTTCGATTACCGTAAGGTTGCGAGTCAGCTAGGGCACAGGGGTGCGAACGATTTTCAGAGCGTAACTCCTCCACAACCGGGAGGTTTCCACTGTCGAAAAGGGCGGTTTTGGAAATATCTCATGGACAGCTTTCCTGGGAAGTATCAGTTGGCGCTCGCACCCTCCTGGTTGCGGAGAAATAACGCTTTGAAAATCGATCGCACCCCCGTGCGATGACTTGCAACCTCACGGTAAATAGCTGTGGTGGGCTCGGGACACTTACATCTGGTTGGTTTTCAAGTCTTGAAATACAGTGGTTGGGGGTGACCCCCCAAGCTACATAAAGCAACAGAATTTCTCACGGCTTCTGCGACAAGTCCGCGACATTTCACCTTGGGCGAATATGGCGAAATATCGAAATGACACGAACACACGACACACCAAAACCAAAGGACACATGAACACCTTGCGCCGAAACGTCATCAACCCAAGCTTATTTATCAAGCTGGCAATATTCCGGAGAGGGGCGGCCCATGAGCCTACGGCGGTGGCATCACCTTCGCCACGTGCAACGCCGTACACAATCGCAATTTGGCGTGCGGTGTACTTTTTCACTCCCCCTCACTCCGCGCAAGGGGGATAAAATGGTCAAGCACCCTCGAGGCAGTTACACAGTGCTTACAACTGTCTCTGGACGTGAAAGCACCGGAAAGTAAATTAAGTCATACGCAGCTGTCATCCGTACGCAAGGAAGTAAGCACAAGATGCCGAACACCCTTAGCAGGATGCAGCGCACCCTTCATGCGACTCGCCGAATATCTCACGGCGCTTCGCGCTTGGTGATGTGAGAGCCTGGTCCGGTGAGAACCCGGCGTGCTCCGTCCCGGCTTTGTAGGGATGCGAGGTCATGGTCTAACGACTACGGCATGCACGACTATGAGTACAGACACCCCCAAGCCCATCCACCTTCCTCAACAAGACTAAACCGCCGTTTCTTCGAGCGCTTTCGTGTCGAGCGCCTTCGCTCTCCCTCCTCCTCCTCCTCCCTCCCCTCTCCCCGCCCCCTTCTCCTCTCCCAATTCCTCCTTTCCCTCCCTGTTCGCCGCCTTCTCCTCCTCGAAGTCCTCCTCCGACTCGAAGCTTTCGTCCTCAACCGAGTCCCCCTTCTCCGCTGACGACTCGTCTGAAAATAACTCGTCGTCTGTACTACTGTATCAACCCCCCCCCCGCCCCCGGTGAGACCTTGCGGCGTGCTACGTGGGCTTTACCACCTGTACTCTTCTGGGGTGGGAACTTTCGGCGTGTGACGGGGGCTCTGACAACCGAAGGACCGTCTCGGCGAAGGGATGGTTGATCAGGATCCCCTCCCAAAGGAGACTGTGCTCATCGTGACCACTGTCCCCAAGCTCTCTCTCTCTCTCTCGCTCTCTTTCTCTCTCTCTCTCTCTCTCTCTCTCTCTCTCTCTCTCTCT